GTTCCCGGGTAGCCCTTTTGGACAATGCCTCCTTTCTGGCGGTTTCCCTCCATTCCCGGGAATGTTTGCTCACGTTTGCGACTCCTCCCGTGGTGCTGCAGTGGCTCACAGGTGACTGACCCAGCTGCCGGCCAGGGGAAGGGCAGTGCCCTCCGAGCAACCTGGCGGGGACAGCACCATGGGACAGGGAACGCAGTGTCCCTGCTGGGAGGGAGCCCCGGGCCCCTCGGCCACAGGGAGAGCACAGATGTCCGACCCCCACAAGCTGCTTCTCGGGGTGTTTATGTCGCAGTGCCTGCGTGGCGCCTGTGCCTAATCCCCGCAGAGAGGCAGCTACGGGGCCAGATGTTCCAATTCCATTGACCTAATTCGGCATCTGGGCTCTGGCGCCTGCCCTTCCTGCCATATCTCCCAGCTCCCCGGAGCGGCAGCTGCCAGAGCAGGAGCAATCACCGCAGGTTCAGGTCCCTGCAGGGCACCTTGTCCCGGGGCACCGCTGCTGAGCCCTGGAATGTGCCGCCGGCAGCATCCCGGCTGCGGGGACAGCCGTGCCCGGCCCCGGAGGATGGCACACGCCGTGCTTTCCAGCGCCCTGAGCCGATTTGCTGCGTGCCGTGAAAGGATGGATGGCGTGCTGGGCTTTCATTGAAGGCTGATTTCCCAGAGGAGGGATTTCTGTCAGGGATATTAACTCCCTGCTGCTTCAAGCTGAGTGCTTTGAGTGGCTCTCGCTGATGTCTTAAAAATAGAGATATCCTTATTAATATATCCCAAAGAGGGAAAAGGTTCTTGTTCTCCAGCAAAATATGTAGTCACTCTTGCATCAAACATCATTCTTCCTGCCTTAAGGAAAGAAAGAAGCCCATCCTTCCTTACTGGCCTTTGGCTTTGTCCAAATGAGAGTCAGAAGACTGCATCCTTTTCCTCAGGAACATAGCTTTGTCAAAGAAGGGTTTGGGCTGATAGAAACCCCAGGGGTTTTCACAGACCTTGGCTTTATTTTGATGCCTCTCAAGAGAGCCAATGAGTTACACCCCTCTGTTCCCCCACACATCAGTCTGAATGAACAAGTGTCCAGCATGGGCTGGGCAGTACCTACCAAGGAATAGGTGTGCAGAGAGACTCTCCCAGAATCACAGAATCATTGTCGAGGTTGGAAGAGACCTTTAAGATCATTCAGTCCAGGTGTCCACCCAGCACTGCCGCTGTAACACCTAACCCACATCGCCCAGAGTCAGATCCAGGTACTCTGTAAACACCCCAGGGATGGAGGCTCCACCACCTTCCTGGGCAGGGGGAGGTGGTGTAGTTCAAAGCCTGACCACTCCAACAGTGATTTTTTTTCTGATCTGAATCTCCCCTGTCTCATCCTAAGGCCATTCCCTCTCGCCCTCTCACTGCAGGCCCAGTAGAAGAGACCAGCCCCACATGGCCACAGCCTCCTTTCAGGTGCTCATAGAGAGCCATGAGGAGCCCCCTGGGCCTCCTCTTTTTGAGACTAAAGAAGCCCAGCTGGCTCAGCTATTTCTCACAGACATGTTTTCTAAACCTTTCAGAGCCTTGTTGCCCTCACTGGACACACTCCAGCCCCTCAGTGTCCTTTGTAAAGTGCGAGGCCCAGATATGGACACAGCGCTCAAGGTGAGGCCTCACCGGTGCCGAGTACAGGCCGTGGTCACTGCCCTGCTCCTGCCCGCCTCGCCATTCCGATTTTTCTGTGAGGAATTAGCCTTGCAGGGATGCTTGCAATGCATGGCTTTCTCTGTCACACCAAGGGCAGTGGTATGGGGACAGGGAGGCTGCATTTGGAGGATTTGGGGCGCTGGTTGAGGTCTGACCCCCTGCCTCTCATTTGCTGTTTTATTGGCCAGCTCTGCATCTGGAGGGGTCCATAAGAGCCCAGCTCTGGGTACAGGAGCTTGGACATGTATGGGAAAGTGTTTTGCACAGCAGGAGAGCTGTGGTCAGCCTTCACCTACTGTTTATCTGAAAAAAAACCCACTCAATTTTGCACTGTTTTGGTTCTTAATTCACATTTGCTGTTCCTAATCTTCTCTGGTGTTGTTTACAGAAGAACTGGGGGAGGATTTCAAGCACACTGCTGTGCCTCTGACCCCAACGACTAAACCCCATGGGGAAATGGAAATGGGGTGGTTGGTTCAGCTGTGGGGTCTCAGGCTGCTGGGAGCTGGAAGTTGGCAATCCTGGCAGCTGCTGGTCCTGGCTCACAGCAGCCACCAGTGACTGGCTCACACTGCAGAGGCACAGCTGTCCTGCCTGGAATGCTGAGGGAGGAAGGTAAAAATACCTCTTCAGTCACACGCTTGCGAGATTCTTGGATGGAGGATGCTAAAAACAGCACAATGGTTGTGGACATGGTGGGTTTCTTGGCAATGCTGTCAGCAATTATTCTTCCTTCTGGCTTTGCACCGAAATGGAGGTGTGGGGGATTAGGGTTGGAGAAAGCAGTGCTGCCCTGGGAGGATGCATGGGTGGAGCAGCCTTTTCCCAACTTTCTTTTTGCCTTAATTCACTCTGACAGAAGACTTTCATCGCCAAAAAATTGATACCCTGAAATCATAAGGCTAGCTGGAGCAGAACAGAGGCAGGGCTGGACCTTCCCATACTGGTTGAGAACATCATAGGAGAAAAGGCATTGTAATGGTCAGATATGGGCTAAACAGATTTGCCCTGTGCATATAGCAAAGGAAAATACTCAAGGACAATAACATAATGGGGGGAAAGCTGGGGTTTTTCTCCACAGCCCTGCAAACCCTGCCTGTGGCTGCTCAGAGCCCTGCAGCTGGGCTTCCCCACAGTATAAATGCAAGCAGATTTGGTAGGTGTGCAGCCAAATAAGCCCTGAAGGAGCTGGGTTGTGCTGAGACCCCAGTGGCTGGGACATGGGCAAGAGGTGCCTTTTGACAGGGCTGCCCTACACCAGTGATGGCTGTTGAAGGCCTGCTATGGTCACTTCTCAGGCTTGACAGGGAGCAGTGAGACGTATTGGAAGGCTGAGCTATTTAAGTAGGAAGCTTCTCATCAAATCCTGGAAGAGGAGTGTGTCCCTCTCCCCAGCCAGCAGGGCTGCAGCCAAAGGAATAATGTGGTGAATGCCATTTTCTTGGCAACTCTGAATGCTGAGTTGCTACCTCAGGGAGGAAACAGCCTGTGAAAAATGTATTTGAAAACCAGTTGCTAGATAGTCATCAGGTGAAGCAAGATGCAGCTTTGGGCTGAGTACCAGAACTGCTCTCCACTGCTCATGCTCACCCAGCAGGTGCACAGCTCCCTTTCCAATGATCTGGGGACACTGCTGCAGAGTGTCCAGCTCCCAGCAGTGCTGCTTTTACTCTCCATCACCTTGTTGGGAGCCCAGCTTCCTGCTCCTCATGCAGGGAAAAAGGTCTCTTTGCCCAGTGGAAACAGCTGAGATACCATCATGGCTGAGAGCACCACAGCCTTGCTCTGTGCTTAGATATGAAGTTTCTCAGCAGTGCTCACCCTGGTTATCCTAACTAGCATGCATGGACAGGGGAAGCCAAATGGCTTGAAAAACATCCATCTACAGGCTGTGCAATGTCAGCGGGCTGCTGGCCTGGAACAGCTGCTATGGAAAGTTGTCCATCCCAGCTCTCACAGTGCAGGAATGAGCCTGGTGGATGGGAAGTCACAGGAAGGAATAGTAAATCAGGAACCAGCACCCTTCCCATCTATTTTTAGCAGCAGTATCAGTGGTGTTTACGGGAATTTCCTCCTCGTCCTCTGTGTTCCTGTTGATTTCCTTCTCAGTGGTGTTACAGCTTCAATCAGCATGGCCTACAACAGATGCAAAGCAATCAGCAAGCCCGTCCTGGCCGTGGGGAGGTGTGGGATGAGGGGCTCTGCCGTGGTTGCTGGTGTGGGATGCTTCCATCTTTTATGTGCCCATGCTTAGCCTGAGTAACTTAATCCTTGGTGATACTTTCCTTAAGTCAGACATTGCTAAGAGTTCAAATCATCCCTCTGGAACTGGAAATGTTCCCAAATCTCCATCCCCACCTGCCTGTAAGGGGGAGTGGGCCAAAGCAGTGCTGGTGGCAGGAGCTGCTCGTGCGCTGGCCCTCAGTCACTGGTGGCAGGTGGCCACAGGGGATGCTCCATGAAGATGCTATTTCCAGGGAGAAGTGGAAAAGCAATCACAATTTTATGATGTGTTGGGCCCTGCTGGGCATCTGTCACGCTGATCCAGATTGTGCAACTTCAGTACCACTTAGCAGCACAGCCTGTTTAATTAGCCCACCTGCTCAGCAGTGGGAAGGGATGGCATTCACAAGCCTTGCACATCACCTCTTCTGGGCTCCACAAAGCCTTTACACCCAAGAGCTGGCAGGGAGCACACCAGGCAGCAGGATGATGTTCCTGCTTCCCTGCACTGGCAGACAATAGCAAGCCTTGCCTTTCTCCCCTACCAGCCCTTTCTGTTTTCCTTCTCCCTTTCTGGCAGGGCTTAGAAAACCCATGCAATACCATCCCTGGCACAACAGGACATTCCAATCCCTCCTCATCCCATGAGGGCAGCAGTAGGGCAGCCAGGCTCCCAGCCTAGCTCACAGACCTTTCAGAATATGATGTCAGTCATGATTTGCTCTTTTACCATCTACCTGGTTTTACTGATCAAGCAGGGCTGACCTTGCCTCCTGGTGGGCTTTGCTCTAGGGGCTACAGAGGAAACAGACAGACTTAGGGCATAGAGAAACCCAGCCCCATTCCATCCTGGTGGGGCCAGGGTGTTTTACTGCTGCCTTCTGGCTCAGTGCATCCATCCTCTCCTGGCACAGAGATCCCAGCCCCTTCCTGGAGTAGTAATAGTGAGTTACTGCTGATTTCCTTCAGCTGGGGCTTAATCCCCAGCAGCTGCCAGTTATGGGGCCAAGTTATATAGGGAGCTGAAGGCCCTTTCCCAGGTAAAGAGTTTGAGGTTGTTTTTGTTGCTGTGGATGTGGTTCTGGTCTGTTTCATGTGCTGTTGTGCCAGGGACCTCAGAAGCCATTTCAGTATCTGAGAGCAGGGGTGGCAGGTAAGTCAGGCTCCAGAGAGGAAAGAAAAGTAAGGTTTTAAAAAAAGCATACAATTTCCCATTTTTATTTCCTATAGATTAAACCCTAAAATTTTAGGTGCTCATGCTCTTACTGTAAGTGCTTATTTGTGAAAGCTTTGGGCTGTAAGCTGTTGTGTTAGAGCTCCTCTCACAGCATGCTTTACCTTCTAAATATGCCTGTAGGTTGTTATTGCTGCAGTGGAAACCAAAAAAGAAGATTATGAAATCTGGTGGAAAAATGAAGCAGTGAGGGTTAAGGTTTTAGATCTCCTCTGCTGTGGGTTAGCTGGCACATGGCTTAGAAATTTGTCTGGGCAGATATTGGGAGGGAGGGCAGGATGATGTGATGAGATGCTTTATGGCTCACCTGGTAACCATTTCAGAAAGATGTAAAGGGTGACAATTTTCTGCATGCAAAAGAGGCTGAAAATAACTTTTCAGAAAATAGCCTTGGGAGATGTATGGAACCCTAGGAATGCAGTTTGACTGGAGGAGCACTTGAAGAGTGCAGCACTCCTGAGTGAGGGCTGTGCAAGAGCTGTGTACCTGGATTCTTGATTCTATGCAGCTGAACTCAGGAAGCCACCTGAATCTGGCTCAGCTGATTCATGCAGCTGTGCAAACTCTTGGCCTTCTGGCCTCTCTGGAGGCTTCGTCATTGCCTTCTTTATTTCTTTCCTCACATTAAACCAGTAAAAGAACATCTTCCAGCATAACAGTTTGAATGGTGAAGGGTGGGTGAGATTTTGGGGCAATTCTCTTACTGGTTTGAGCCTTTGAATACAAGCAGTTGTGCTGATGGCTGTGACTCTCTGACTACTGAAGTTTTTGCTTACTAGGCTTGTGCACAGCACAGCTCAGCTCCCAGACTCTGGCTTGGGGTGATGGTTTTAAGCTGCTTTTGGAGCACCAGCAGCTACCAGCTGCTTGGGGTGTTGTGCAGAGGGGAGAAAAGTCCAGTCTTCATGGAAAGAAAAGGGAGCAGCAGTTTCTCTATTCAAACATTGCCATGGCAGAGCTTGGTGCTGCAGTAGGAGATGCCCATGTGCCTGCCCATGGGTAACAAGGGCACATACAGGTTGGAGATGCTGGCCAGATAACTGGCCCTTTCCTTCAAGTGTTTTGGGATCACTGTATGGAAAGTTGTTACTGATTTGAGGACAAGGGACTTTGAAAGACCCTGTGCTGAGGTGAGTCAGTTCCTGACTTGATGGGGTGATGAAATGAGATCCCTCAAATCTGCTCAGGGAGACTCTGATCAAACATTGCCTCACCTGCTGTGCCCACACAACTTCTGCTGCCCTGCTCCCTACAAACACGTGCAGGGCTCCAGGGGACCTTGCACCTGTTCTTAGGAGCAATAACAGCAAAATCAGCCCCCACTCCAAAAGGTCTTGTCTGGGCAAGAACCAGAGACCTTCCACATCTGCCCTGCCCACTGGCTCCTGGCATCTTGTTGCCTCTCTCACGAGCGAGCTGCACAGCCTTGCTTTTCAGAAAACACTGGTGTTTTGTAATTTTTTTGGCAACTGGGACGAGTTCTTTGTAACTATCTGAACTTTGCATTTGTTTAAGCAATTTACTGCCTTGATGCTCAGAGGGGTCATTTGTTCAAAGCTGAATAGCTGCGGGGCTGGAGAATAAACATCAGTCTCCCCACTCTTGCCTCCACAGGGTATTGGCCAGCTGTGGGTGATGCAAGATGGGCTTAGCTTCTCCCTGTTTAATGAGTCAATGAACCCTGTATCTCTCCTGACATACGGGGTGACTTCTAAAAAGAAAGCTGGTCTCTGTCCTGCCCATTCCCCAGGCATCAGGAGCTGTGCCTCCATGCCCACCTGCTGCAATAGGGCAGAGAGTTTGGCCCTGGGGTGCCGGGGAAGGACATGGTTTTGTGGTGGTGCCCTGTCTCCAGAGGCTCTGTAACAGTTGGGTGCTTTTATCCTAAATAAAGGTGCTTTAGAGATGGTGACCAACAGCACCATTGGGAACTTGCAGGCAGGAGAGGCTTGTGCCAGAACCATGACTGGAGGATCTCTCTCCTTGTTCCCTAGCTGAGACTGATTCCTTCTGGGTCCTGTGGCTCTCTTTGTCTCACTCAGCAGCCTTTAAAATCTGGAGGAAGTCTCTCTTATCCCATCCTCAGGACAGAAATAAAACCTCTGCCTGGTATGTGAGGATACTTGGGTCAGGGCTTTTTCTGAGACAAAGGGTGAGACACCAAATGAAACATCTTTATCCATGCAATGGAAATGTCCAGCAGGTGGGTGTTCACTCTTTATAGATGTATAATGTGGCTGAGAATTCTTGCTACTTGCTAGGGGTCAGGCAGCTTTAGGACTGGTGAGGTGTCCTGCTGCTTCACCCCGAAAAGAGCACAAAGGCATCTCTCAAAGCACACAGCCAAGACTTCTGATTGTTTCTAGTTTATAACCAGCAGAGCCCTGATGATGATGACTTCTGGGCTTAAAATAAAAGCGATTCACCTGAAACTGGCAGGCTCTGCTGGGCAGCCATCCCCAGAGCTTTGCTGGTGCAGTACAGCTAGGTGGCTGACAAGAGGTTTTTGCCAGGTTGGCAGCCCCTGTGCACCCCAGCCACACTGCAGAGCCCAAATTGGGAGTTGTGCTCCATGGCTGAAAAGTGAGAGACTACCTGCCCTGACCACTGCCAGGCTGCTCAACTGATTTGCGTGACAAGAGGATGTTGGGCTTCCCAAAATTATCTTCAGTGCATCTCTAAGGTTTCATTTCCTTGTGGTGGCTGCTTTCTCAGACGCCTACGCTTCCACATGCACACAAACACATCTCCTGCTGCAACAGTGAGCACCCCAGCAGCCTGGGCTCTTAAAGCCTGGAGCCAGACCTCTGGCTTTTGTTGGAGCAAGCCAAAATTTCTGCTTTGCATTGTGCCAGGTAGCACTGCTCCCACCCAAAACGTGCAGTGCACAGCAGGGGAGAAACAAACCCAAAGCCTGTACAGCCCTCCTGCCTGGCCAACACTCTGCTCACAGCTTCCTTTTGGGGTCATGAAGCAGTGGAATGGCAACATCTTTGCAGGCACCTCTTTGTACCATCTGCAGTGGTATGGCCTATGTGTTTTTAGGTTTTCCACATGGTGCAACACAAAAGCAGGGGTAAGACTTCCTTAAGGATGTGTCAAAACAGGGTAGAAACTGCACCCCCTTTGGTCCCTGGAATTGCCTGTAAGATGCCTGTGATGGGCGAAGAAGAATTTGGGAGGTGTTGCTGGCTCCTTTGGGCTGCCCTTGACAGAGCAGGGGTGCTACAGATCTCCCCATGCCACCAGTGACAGGATCAGAGCCTCCAGCATGACTTGGGGTTGTGGAAAGAGTCCAAACCACTGGCTGGGTGGGAGCTCAGGCTGCACTGAATCTTGCTGGGGCAAGAAGGAAGCAATGTGAGCACTCACCTCATTGAAAACCCCAGAAAAAGCCCCGGATTTTTTTCTAGTAAGACTGAAACCCTAACAAGCATAGCACAGCCCCAGCCTGGCACATTGCCAGGCACTGAACTGACAGGGGAGCCCCTATCCCCCAGAGCATCCCTCCATGCAAGTTAGTCCAGCTAGCCCTCCTGCTGTCTCCATAGCACATGCATGTACCTGCAGCACTTGACTCCAGACCTTCAGCCTCCCACATGCCAAGAACAGGACCACACTTGAGGTACCCTTGGCTTTGCCAAAGAAAGGATGTTCTACTCTTGCATGCGGTAAGCTGGGCTTTCTGTTCCAGCCTTGACAGTGCTGGTGACTCATGATCCTGCTTTGAAAACTATGCCTGGATTAGCAGCAATAGGCTAGTTGTAGTTCTCCCATGTCCTTTGTGCCTCATTTACCAATTTATTGCTTGATCTGAGGCTTTCTCTTTATTCCCACCAAGACCTTTGTTCCTGTTGTCCCAGCTTGTCTTTTCCTTGACAAACCTCATTTATTGTTTCACTCACATCATACCCTCAATCATTCCAGACAAAACTAAATTTGGGGGCTTCTAAAAACCTTTCCAGGAAAGGAGTGAGGAAGCTGGAGTGCACTTGTCTACCTCCAGCCCCATGCAGGGACACACATAACCCCAGGCAGTCCGTGCAGGGGGTGTGGGGGGATGTGTGGGGCAAAGCATTGGCAGGGCTGTCAGTAAGGCTGCGTTGATTGTGTGGGGTTTAGTAGCAGCCATCACCAGACTTGCTGTGCTGAGGAAAACTTGCTTTTTTTGCTTCTACCTGCTGCCCTTGTCACTTCCTTGGCTATGGTGGTGAAATGAACTGTTATTTCATCCTTCACATTTTCCTGTGTGTAAGGATATGGCAAACCCAAGTTATGACGTGATTTGGGAAGAGGAATGAGGCATTTCTCAAGGGAGTATTCCAACCCCTCTTCATGAGCAGAGCTGCTCGTGTCCAGCCAGCACCATGGTGTGGTTTACTACTTCTACAGAGTAGGAAAGGGAACAGCATCCCAAAGTGCAGCTTCAGAGAGGAAAAACTTGCACGATTTTAAGAGAGTAATAAAAGAAATGCAATGATTCATCTGGGGGGTCTGGTTCCTGCAGAGATAGCAGCAAAAGCCAGCCTATGCTGTCCCCTCTCTCCAGGTGTTGGGCCTTGTTCCCCATCAATGACTGAGGCAGGGACCATGGAGGTGATTGCTCAGGCCATCATGAGTGCCCCAGGGCTTGCCAGGGATGTCTTCCTACCTCCTACATACCCACACTTGAGATATCCTACAGAGAACTGGTGCTCTTGCAGTACCTCTTGCAGGGAGGTTGTTGTCCTTGGTCTGGAGCATTGCCAGTGTTCAGCTTCAGCTGATGAATGAGCTGTTAGGGAGATAAATGTGCCATTTGGTGACTGGCCAGGGCATTATTTACCATTTATGCAGGGAAAGCTCAGCCCTGCACAAGGTGGTGCATGACTGGCATTACCAAAAGTGCAGGGACAGCCAGACCCAAAAGGCAGAGCTGCTGCCTTTGCCTGTAGGAGGTTTCTTTGTGAGCACAGCTGGCAGAGCTGGGACAGCTTGTGCTTCCCAACAGACTGGATCAGAAGCAGTGAGATACTGGATCTACAAACATGATGCAGGGAAGCAAAGGCCCTTCTGAGCTGACATAGCTATGAAAGAAGCCCGATGCCTGTGGCAAAGTTTAGCAAGATTGTGTTTCAGGAGTCCTTATGTCAAAAAATGCATGCTGTCTGAGAAATAAGCTAGGAACTCACCAGACCTACCTGTATTGTTGCTGCTGCTACTACAGTGATCCTCCAGAGTTACTAGCTGTGTGTAGCTGCGCAGCAGCTGAGCTCAGAGGTGCACAGAGGAGCATCTCCCAGGTGGGAAAGCTGAAGCAGGCAGCAGTGCTGGTGCTCAAGGGCCACTAAACTCATGTTTCCTGTGTCTCTCTGCTCCACTGGGTGGGCTCCTCTGCTGGCTGCTGCTCTAGAGCCAGAACAGCTGTTGCCTGTCATGGGAGCAAGAGAGTGGAGTTGGGTATTGAGGTTTCTTAATTAACAGGATTGTCTGAGTTTCTTTGCTGGCATCAAAATGTATTCCTCACATAGCTGTGCTCTCTGCATTGCAAAATGGACACTGCTGCTATTTTTATATGTGTTTTCCCAACTGTTTTTCATTTTTCTGTGCATCTGTTCCTTGCATGATCTTCTGGGTAGCCAGGAGTGAAGATGAAGTAAGAAAAAAGAAAACACTGCAGTTTCTCATTTGGGCAGCCATCTGGAGGCTTTCTCAAAACATGAAGAGCCCCCTGAAACTTTGATCTTTTTGCAGTGTTAATGCTGGGCACCCCCCAAAATGGCATCATCTTAAATCACAGCTTTGAAACAAGAAGGCCAATCTGTGGTGGTTGGCAGAGACAGCAGGCACACCAGCCTTCCTCCAGAGCCCCTCTGCTTCTCCCACTTTCTCCTTGCTCTTCTCCACCAGCTTCTGCAGGATGGGCTGGAGGCAGGCAGAATTGGGTGGGATCCATTTAATATTTTGTCCTTGCTCAGAGTGACTCTCTGAAGTGACAATTTGCTCCTAGCAAAAGGAAGAGCTGTGCAATGCAAGGCCTTTCTGTCCATGCACCATGTCCCTGTCCCACATCCCTGCACCCTATCCAGCATGGATAGAACTGGGCTTTTGCTGGGCACAAGGTGCTGCAAAACCCTTAAGTTGCTGCTTGTGGGGAAAACCAACCCCAGCAAGGCTGTGCTACTTATTTCTGAGCAGAATGGCAAAACACAGGGAGGCCTTCTCCCTCCCTCTCTGTTACTTTTCCCTTGTGAGGGATTTAGATAACCAACAGTACATATGGCATTCCTTCAGTGTGGTGGTGCTTTGTGGCTGGCAGATGTTGACCCTTTAGGTGTGTGAGTGAATTGAGCTGCTCCTCATTCCATGCAAGCATTTGCCAGACAAATGTTTTGTCTCAGGCTGCCTTCAGGTACACCTACGAGGTGACTTCAGCAGCTGATGGAGAAATGTTCCTACTGAACATGATTCCTGCTCAAAATCACATTCTGGTCTATTTTCTCTTCAGAAATTATAATCTTTAATAAATATAATTATTAAAACCAATCTATAACAAGAATGATTAAATAATTGCCTTGCTATAAAACTGCATGGCAAGAAAGGCTGAAGAAGCTGTAGGTGGAGATACAGGTTGTATGGCAGTAAACTCTGAAAACCATATAGTGCAGGGAAGTTTTGTTTTAAGGCAGTGATGACAGCTGGAGAGAAAGTGCTGGACTTTCTCTGCAATTCTGTCACCCTCTGACATCTGATGAGGAAGCTATTTCTTCATTCTGTGTTGCTATCCAGGCTTGGACTTCCAGCTTAATTCAGAGTGAGTAGGAAACCTAGACAAAATCCTGAGAAGTGCCTTAGCAGAACACCCATCACAGGTAAGATCAGAGATGGACTTTCTCTCCCTGCTCTGCTTGATGGTTTGTTTGGTTTTTTTTTTTTTTTTTCATTCCCTGTGTAAAGAACACTGTTATGAAGCGTGCTCAGGTTACTTTCTTCCCTTATCCCTTCAGAGCTGTGCACTACAGTCTGGATAAAAGGATCCTTAAGACAAAAGGACAAAGGAACTGAAGTTCCTCAGCCATGGACCATGGATAGTGTCTGTCAAACTCCGCTTTTCCCTTGCTGGTATTTCTAGTACTGGGTTTGGGCTGGTTCACAAGCCAAAGCTTCAATCTAGGCTTTGGTCCCATAGGAATTCAGCAGTTAAACTTCTCCCTGCCTTGGAGGGAGGGAATAAATCCCATCCTCTTGAGTGCCATACTGTGCAGGGTACCCCATATTTGGGGTGTTAAGGCAGGAGGATAGCATGTTTCTAACCTCAAAGAAAGAGTTTGGAAAGCACAAACCATCGGTAGGCTCCACCAGAGTCAGGTGTGTAACTATAGCTGACCTTTCTGGAGACAGTGCTAGGCCAGTGCCCAGCAGTTTTGGAAAAATCCCACTCCTTTAAAACTATCTCAGTTGTGGGCATCTCTGTTCATCATGGAAAATCATCATGGAAAATCCTCCAAGCCTCCCCAGTCTAAGAGCAGTGAGGAACCTGTGGTCCCATGGTACAGGAATGCTTGAGGCTGGTGGGTTATGTGCTCCTCTCCATGAAGCATGGCATGTGCTCAGCCCTGGGTGCTGCAAGGCTGGTGGGGCTGAATGGGCTCTGCCCAAAACTGCTGCAGAGGCTCTCTGTCCAAAAGAGCATGGAAGATTTGCTGTTTGGCTGAAATCTTTTCAATTAACATCAGGCTATCATGGGTTGCCCTGTAAAATGGTTGAACATGTCCATCTTCACATGGGCTGGGGATGATTTGAAGGTGTCCTTGAGCATGGCACTTCAATTGGTAGGGAAGCAACCCTGTGCAATGTTTAAAGCAGGAAAGAGAAAAGGGGAAGCCCTGCTGCTTTGCAAGGAAGGCAGGCTTTCACCAGGCTTTATTTAATTGGAAATGATTAATATTCCCTTGTTGCTATAGCTCCTCTGGGGCTCTTCCTCCCTGTCAGGATTTTCATTTAGCATGTTTTTAATGCACTCTTTGCATATCTGCTATCACATCTGAAAGTCACCTCTGCAATATATAACAGGCAGGTGGAGGAAGAGGATGGAGAGGAATGAGCACAGATGCCTTTTCAGCATGCACCGAGTGCTGTCTCTGGAGAAGACCTGCTGGCAGGTAGTGCTGGGAAGCTGGGAAGGCTGTTCCATAAGCCAGCAGGCAGGCAGTTGGGAGGATGGCAAGCATTTCAGCATGTAGCAGTTGACATCTGGTGCAGGGAATGAGTGGGAGGGGAGGAGGGAAAAAGGCAGCCTGATTTCTCAGAGTTAGCTGCCAGCTTCCTCACCCTCGCCACCTTGCCAGCTCCTGGAGTTCAAAGTCGTGAGGCAGCCCATCCTTTGCCTGAAACTATGAGTTGTTGTTACTCCATAAAAACATCCTCATCTCCTCAGCAAGAAAGCAATACTAAATGCCTGGCTCTTTTTGGGGTGGGGGTAAGAGCATATTTTCAAGCACTGCGCTGCAAGCAGGTAGGCCAGAAATGCAGAGCTGATGAGTGAGAACTGATGCCCTCCCACACTGGTCATGGGGACTGAGCTGCCACTGCTGGGATGCTGCCTGTCAGCTGTGGAGGCAGCAGAAATTTCAGGCAGTTTGTGTTCCATCCAGATCCCTCACACTTTGTGTGGATGTTCTGGGTTTGGATGACCCCAACCCAAAAGTCTGGCATGGTAAAACACCTGTCATGTATAGATGTACTCCAAGCAGGGATTGAGTGGGAGAAATGTGGCCTCACTTCTGTGTTAGTAACACCAACACAAGTTATGACTGGGTTGTGGGTTTGTTTTTACATTAAAATTTGTCTTTGTTCTCAACGAAAGTTAAAGAGAAGAAGATTGGGTTTTCAAGTGTTTAGGCCCACCTACCCTATTGTGTTTTGTTTCTAAGAGTAAACACTGCTTGATCAACTGTTCCTGACTGCTGCCACCTCCTCATCTTATGTTGCTAACACCTGTCAGCTCAGCCAAAATCTGTCAGCAGAGGTCCAAGTGCACTTCCTGACTTGCCAGCCCACCCAAAACATCCTAGCCATCCCAGCTGGCTTTCCTCAACTTTCACACAGTGCTTACTGGATCAGGTAAGTCTTTTTCTATTGATGACAAGGTGTCTATGTCATCTGTGCACACCTTAAAATTATTAGGAAAAACCCCTAAACCCATGTTGGCCACTGGGAGGAAAGGGGTTTCTTGGTAATTCCAGGAACAGTCTAGCATTGCAGCACTCCCCATTTGGAAGAGATGTGGATGGTCAAATTTGTGACCCCAGCCCAGGGTTGTTAACAGAGCCTGTCATCAGCCCTTCCCACTCCCTGCCAGCAAAGACAAGTCAGGAGGGCTCTCAGCTCCCAAAAGGAGTGTGTCTCTCTTGCACTTGTAAAACTTTTTTGATGTTATAACTGTTTCTGTGTGGATATTTTCACCTTCTTCCATGTGTGCTGTATTTTAGCAGATGCATTTGCATGTTACAAACCACTTTTTCATGTGGAACCAAGTAGCACACAATAATCTGTTGAGCAGACCCTTGTACCATTAGAGTCCAAGGCAGCTATAGAGAGAGACCAAGAATATCTCAGTGACAAATGTCTTGTCAAAAGATTTGTAGCCACCTGCAAATCAGGTGATAGCCTTACATTTGTCATTGATTTCTGGGCTGAAATACAGAGAGCAAAGACTTGGTTCAAGGGACCATGATGATTACAATTGTTGACTACATACTGAAAAACAAGCCTATTTGGTCAGTCATTAACCAGAAAGAAGAAAACAGAAGATAGTTCGTTCAAGAGGCAGTTTGTGCTCACTGAGTTGAAACAAATGCCTTTATTTAATTTTGTGAAGTAATTTTCTAAGCAATTAGTTTCATCCTTACCCCTTGTAGTTGCGACATGCTGACAAATATCTTTCCACAGCCAAGGAAATTGCAAATAGCTTTTCAATAAAAACTCAGCTGGTCTTATGGGAATTTTGTTTTGAGAAGAGATGGCAGTTGAGTGAAATAGATTTTTCCAAATCTTTTTTTCCAGCTTTAGCTTGGTTGGACACCACTGCTGGAGACCAGAAGTTTGGTCATTGTGGTTTTAAGAATCTCTGCAGACTTGAGCTTGTGGGATAATGAGTCAGTTTAACATGGTTGCACCCATCAGAACTACCTACTGCTATTCTTGTCAGAGCTTTGAGATGGAGGAAAATATTTGAGGTTTTTCAACCTGAGTGTAATTCCTGCACTGAATAAGGTCTTGGAGTACTGAAGCACTTGAGCATAGTCATAGACCCAAGTCTTATTAGTCAAGATATGCAAGGCTGTGTTTAGAGTCCAGGCTCCAAGAAACATTTATTTCTAAGAAACCTGATGATGGAGCTTTGGAAACCAGAGTCCCTTTCACAGGGAGGCCACTTGCAATCCTCTTGGTTACAGTCTCTTGATCAGTGGCATTCTTAGATGTAGCCTTGTGTTGAAGTGTTGTCTTAGATCAGGGCTCAGGGAGACACAAAGGAAAGAACATTGTTATTACTGAAGACCATTGCAGGAGCTGTTGTGGGGAAGCTGCTTTCACTGAGAAATGTGTGTTGTATGTAAATCATGGTTATGGCAAGGAAAATGTTATTTCTTGCAGGCCAAGTGCTGGTGCCCCCTAAGGGATAGTGGCCTTGTCACAGGCAGTCTGTTCAATATTGATTGTCTATTAGCTGATGCTTCCTATTGATCTCACATATCTGTCTTCTAAAGAAGATTAGATTTGAGCAACTTTCAGTGGAGGAGAGAGCAGAATAGAAAGGCTGGTTCCAGCAGTAGCAGTATTTCTCTGTGCAGATTTTAATGTCCATGATTCTAGCAAATTATTAGTGCTTTAACTTGGCTTTGCCTAGAGGCTGGCAAAGACATGACCTGTGAGGGGTTTGCAGGATCCTTGTCTTACTTTTTTTTTTTTTTTTTTTTTTTTTTTTTTTTTTTTTTTATATTTCTTAAATTTGTACCAATGTGAAAAACAAACATCTTGATCTCTTCCTGACATTTGTGGTGGGGAGTTCAAGGAGCAAATGGAGCAAATCCAGCCCCATGCCATGTCAGCTAATCTTGCAGGGGTAGGCAACTGCTAGTAGCCAGCCAGGATGGATTTATTCCAATGGCATGATGTGAGGAGGTAGCATGGACAGTGAGGTTTGGGCTCCTTGCTGAGGATCCTCTCTTGCACAGCTTGGCTATGGATGTGTCCCCCACCTCATTCCCCAGCCTTTCCCTCAGGCCACAGTAACTACAACCACCAAGTTACCCATCCCCATGTTCTTCCATGCCTGGGGATGTGTAATTAGACAATGATGGCTCTGTAAGGGTGTTGAAGATCTATTTTGGGGAAGCAGGTTAAATTTGAGTGAGAGTGTGTTGGATCTCTGTGTGTCTGCCACAGCAGAGCCCACGGATGGGCTGACATTTCAGTGCATCCTGTTTACAGTGCAGCCCAGACAGCAGGAGAAGTATTTTTAAACAAAAATGCAGATTGCATTGTAATCACCCCATGTTAAGGAAACAAACATTTTTGCCACAGTGCAAAACCAAACATTTGCTCAAGATTTAGGATTCCTTTCCCTTAAGCTATCTGCAAAACATAAACTCTGACTTTTTCTCTTTTCTTCCATTGATTTCCTCACCACTGTCCTGTGATACATTAAATGGAGAAATGTTTGCCATAGGTAACAGTTTCACATTTTTGCATTTCATAGCATGCCAGGAATTTGGTTGCTGAGCATTTTGTGTTTTGAAATGTCAGGCGTGTCTGTCTGAATCAACTGACTGCAGCTTGCACTGCGAGCAATGCCTGTATTTTGACAACATCTTTACACCGAAAGGGAGGGGGGAAAAAAGCCAACAGAAAAGCACAGGCTAAAAATTACCCTGGTTGCTAAAAATACTGAGGACAGGAATAGAGAATTCACCACGCTGTTTTTCAGACTCACGTGTGCTTTGATTTTATTACAGGATTAGAGCTGCCAAACTATGCCAAAGGCTGCAGTTGAGTTTCTATTATAAGTCTGCTTTCTGGCTTCTCCCCCAGACTGTGAAAGGCTTCACATAAGGAGGCAAAATCCATAGGTAGGAAGCCTTTAGGATGAAGGGGTAGATATAAGGGAGTTGCTTTGCTTTCTCCAGAAAATTTTGAAGTAGGGTGTCTGGAGCAGCCCGGGTATTGGGAACATCACCCTGGTGTGTGCTCTCCTGGTGGCCACTGGAATGGGGAGCAGCTGCTCTTGGCCACCTTGGCTTGGAAAAGGCTTATTGTCACTGCAATGAAGGGTGGATTTTACCTGTCCCACATTACAGCCCTCACTGTGCTGAACCACGATGGTAGAAACACTTGTCTGAAAACTGGGCTTTCTCCTAGCAAATCTTTCTGTCCTACCTTTGTCCTCCTAATGCTGGTGAAGAGGATTGAGAGGCAGGTGGGACAAAAGAGCATTTTGTAGAAGACACTAAATGGGGAATTAAGTGTCTCCTACAAAAGTTAAAGACAGCATTAGCATTTAACCAAAATCATATAGCAAAAAACCCCACCCAATCTATTCATGTGATAGGAATTTGAAAGAATAAAAGTTTCAAGATGAATTCCAAGCAGGGATCCCCTTGAGGTACTGTGTTGGGCTGATGCTGCCTCATCATACATTCCTGCTTTTCCTTCTTTTTTAATAGTTTCATGTGGTTCTGTTCTTCAACATGCAGAATACAATATTTTGGAGAGCTCAATCTATAAAAAGCAACAAGTAAGTTGGAGCCTTGACTCAGCTGGGAGCAGCTCTGCCACTCCGAGTTATCAAGCTCTGTTTGCAGAGTTGTGTGCCAGGAAGGAGCAATACCTGAGGGGACTAACCCAGATAATTTGAACAGCACCATCTCTTTTGCTTCTAGCAACAAGGAATGGCTGCTGCAGGTCATTACTGTAAAGAATCAAGCAGGCAGACAGGTCCCAAAGCTGCACACAGAGGCCAGCTCGTCACCTGTGCTGGCACCATCGTGTCTCTCAGTCAGGCCACATCTGCAACGCATGATGGAGCCGAAACACCTTGCAGCTGGCAGTAGTGATAATAAGGCTAATAAATAGACTGGTTGCTTGTGAAATGATCATTTGTTCCAAAACAGTCCTTATTAATAGCCCACGGATGGCAGTGGCCATCTGGGGCCTCAGCTATGCAAACTGCTACAAGAATTTGCTCTGCAACTGATGGGGAGCCACAACTGCTGCTGGCTTAGTCCTGGGTGAAGTGCGTGTGAAAATGGGGAAATGCTTCTTTGGAGAAATCTATTTCCAGTCAAAATATGTTTCCGTTAATATTTCATAACACAGTTACAAAATATGCAGACAGAACATTGACCCCTAGAGTACAATATGGCTGACTTCATGAGACTTACTCCCTTCACAAACTTGGCCTGCTTTATTTCTTAATGACATTTTTGAGCTAATTAAAACCCTCTCATGCAGATAGCTTGCTTCCCAAGCAAGAAGGAAAATAAAAAGGAAAGAAAATTCCTTGAACCCTCCCCCGAAGGTCAAGCTATGCCACAAGCTGTGATGAATGTGTCCATTTATCACCTCGGGCGTGAGGCTATCCAGAGCTCTGACATTTCCCTGGTAGAAGTCAATAGCAAGTCCTCAGTTTGTAGCATGGTGTGAAATTTGCTTGCTTTTCCTTTTTCCTTCTCCCATTTCTGTTTAAAGGATGTGATGGTCTATAGCAATCTCCACCTCTGTACCAGTGATACCAGCTGGTCTCAGGCATGCAAGGAACTGCAGAACCATCCCAACAAGATCTGCTCTATCTGGGAGATGATGGGACTGAGGGACCAGCTCCTGGGAGAGGGCAGATCCAAGTCTGCAGGAACCATTACCTGCCCAAGCTGCATATTAGCAACAGTACAGAGCCAGGCCGGCTGTCTTTGTACTCGATCCTCCTTTTCCTCCAGCACAGAGGTGCAAGTCTGAGAGTCTGAGTCTGTGCCTGCTGGCCTCCTGCTCACCCAGAACAGTTGTGTGTGCTGGGATGAGAGGCTGGATGCACCTGCAGGGTACTTTGGCTTATTTGACCCAGGTGCCTGGGAAGGAAGCCAAACCAGAAGCTGCCTTCATGTGCACATCAAAACTGCTCTGGCTCCATCTGGGGTGGCCCAGACCAATTCTAAGTCCTTGTGACAGGGACATTGTTGGGGAGACCAGACCTCCTCTGAAATAAAACCTTTGAACTGCTTATAGCGCAAGGGCGCCAGCTGCTTTGGTCCACTGATCCGTTCCTAGCATGCTGAATGCTTGCTAATTATAGCCAGGAGGCAGACCTTTCCCCCTGGCCTGCTGAGCTATGCTGGCCTCCCAGTGAGCTGCAGGGAAGTTTTAGCCCTATCTGTTCCCATCAAGTGCCAGGACTTCATCCTCGCACACAGCTGGCTCTGGCTGCTCTCTGCCAGCAAGGGCCTGTTACATTTAAAACTTTAGTTGCCAAGTTTTAGTTTTAGAAGCAAAGGCTGGAGCTGTGGTGTCCTCCTACACATCCTGCTTCTTCCTGGCTTGTGTTTTTTGGGTGTCTCAAGAGGATCACAGGGAACCCATGGCAGAAGGGGAGACCGTGTATCCCCACAGTACTGGTGCAGGATAGGGAGGGGGGAAATTCAGTGGCAAGTGAGTCATGAGGAAGCTAATCCAGAGCTGTTTCGCTGCCCTCCCCCCTTCTCTGTACTCTCAGTGACTTTTTTTGGGAGATGTTAAAAGATTCAAGCTCTTCTATAGCTGAAGTCAAACTGTCTGCCAATAATAGACATGTTCTTTCCCTTTACTTCACCCACGCAGGTTGATCTGTGTTTTTTATAAAAATTTTATGGAAGGCACTTCAAACCGATAATGATTGAAAAAAAACCCCAAAAAACTGTTCCTTATGTTGTTGTTGTTATATTTGGGAGTTTGGCTCAACTGTATTTTTGGCTTGGCTTAGAAATTTCTTGCTTGCCTGGTCTGCTTTTGTTGGCCTTCCTGTGAATACATGCTTTGTAGATAGGGAGAAAAAATAATAACAAAGTGTAGTTTTCCCTAAGGGTTCTGAGCCAGGTGGAAGAGCCTGTGTTTTGTTCCTAGCAGTGAGAAGGGGGTTAGCTGCTGCAGTGAGCTGGCAGAAGAATAAATCTTTATTTTCCCTTTCTTCTGTGGCTGCTGCCTGTGCTACAGGTGTAGAGAGCTGCTTTGGGACACACAGCACCCTGGGAGTTGTATTCAGAGGGGTATGAGAGGTGCCTAGGCAGGGAGGACAGGAATGAGAGAAACTGGGGAATGAGGATAGGCAGGTGGAGCAAAAGGGAAGGAGATGTGAGTAGGAGGATAAACAAAGAAAAAAAATGGGGAAGCTGGAGCTGCATACCATGCTTCTAAGGTGAGGCTAATGGAGGTGCCAAGTAGACAAATATATGCACAGAACTACATATAGACACACCTGCAGATGCACACAGATAAAAATGTCTCTTAGGAGTTTATAAATTATTTGAGCAAAATATAGCTCTGTGTGTGTGCATCATCTAAGAACAATTGACTTCTGAATTTGGTACTCTTCACTGCTCATATCAGTACTGATCTATAAACCCAGCACAACAGATCCATTGTTCTCTAAATAGACTCTTATTTTGAATCTGCACAAGGTCTGCAAAAATCAGGAGGCAAAATGTAATGTATGTTAAGTGAATTGTATAGAAAGAGAAGTAAAGATTGTCCTTCAGGGCATGTGCAGGAGGAAACTTGACACTTGCAACTCTCTTTAACTCTGGATATTCTGAGGATGAGGTTTCTAATTGCAATGACCACTTTGTGAGGAAAGGACCTGTTGGGACATTAGCTGGGCATTATTTTATTCTTCACTGCTGAAGTCTGTTCTCTAGCAGCACACCTTTGTTCACCTGAGCATCCCTAGTACCCTTGAATTAGAGGAATTAAAATAATTGGGCAGGGGGAAAATAGTAAAAAAGGAAAAAAAGGACTAGCCAAGCTGAACTCACTTTTCAGATATTCTCTGGTGTTTGCTGACAAGGAGTTATGTTAGAAAAAGGGGAGACAAGGAGCCCCAACACTGGTGTGGGGCACAGACTCTGCAGAGGGCCCTACAGTAGAGGCAAAGGCATCATCATGGGATGGGCATTCTACACTGCAGCTGACATCCATTCATAATCCAACAGCTGACAATTCAGTAGGATTTGAGTCCTTTTCATAGGATCTGAGGAAACTCCCAAGCCAGTGCTAAATTACCCCTTAAAAATTCAAAGGTTTACTATTTATTGCATGTGTCACAGTAGGATGTGGGAACTGTGCCAGGGCCCTCAGCAAGCAGAAAAAAAAGATGGCTTGTACCTTATATCAAGATCTTATCTGGGGGTAAAAATTGATTGGTATATGCAATGTCACCTGCAGAGAGCTATGAATGCCCTGAGAAGTTTCATTCCAGTGAGTGCAGAGTAAATGCTATAGGAAATGGAAAAGTTTTCCCTAAGTTTTCTTCAAGTACTGCTTTCTGGAGTATAGAAATTATGTGTCTTGGGGACTTGGTGGATTCTTGGTTCTGGACTAATGGTTTCACAGCAGTGCCTGAAGCAAGGACTGGGGCTCAGGGCATGCCCACATCAAGATCCCCTGCAGAGAGGGAAATCAGTATGGAGGCAGAGGTATCATTTGCAGTGGGGTTTGCACAAAAAAATACATTGTTTTTGCTTTGTCAGCTTTCTTTCTTTGCAAAGAGACACTCAGATTGAAGACCTTTTGTTTTGTTTTGTTTTATTACAAACCTGAGCTCTGATTCAATACCCACTTCTGTAGAAAAGGAGCCCAGTTCTTGGCTGATGCCTTTATCTCTTTACCAGCTGAAGGCAGCAGTAAAACATTGAAATTAGACTGGAAATCACAAGGTACTCCTGACCCAGCAGCTGCCTATTTATCACAAGAAAATATATAAGAGTTTCAAATAAATATGAAAGACCCTAGTCTCTCTAATCCTGTACTTTAGGACTTTTAATGTATTTTTTAAAAAAATGTTATTAATGCCTGACCAACTCAATCTGTCCCCCTGTTTGGTTTTTTTCTTTGGCCATGGGTCAGCATTTCCCTTCTGGCTTGAAAGACTGATGTCAAAAGCTGGGCTGCAGCCAGGTAATCAGGTCAGCAAGGCAAAATTCAATCAAGTGTTTTTTCGGCCAGTGTCACTGTGGCCTGGACAGACCCTGAAGCCACAGCTGCCTGGCAGCCCTTGTCCCCTGATAAGCTCAGAGCTGATCTGCACATTGTTTTCAGCATATGTTTAACTCTTTACATCTTGCTGTGTTCATTTTGGGGATGGGCTTGCCTTGCTCTCCTTGTGCCCACACCAGTGGCTGGCTACCAGCGTGGTCCCCATTTTTGTGCCGCCCTACCCTCATGTGAGAGCCTGTCAACAGGTATAAGGATGGGGGACACACTGGTGTTTTCTGGGTACTGCCTGGCCCTCAGGTGCTCTGTCTTCTGGGCTATCTCGTCATCTTTGCAGTCCTTGTGAACTGATGGGGTCGGTACCATGAGGTGACACAGCTTGATGAGGCTTTGCATAAAGGGTTGCTTTTTTTTCTTCATTTTAAACCTACCACCTTCACTTAATATCCAGAAAATAAAAGGTAGCAAAGGGGCTGCAAGGGTTCTGTGGCTCAACAGGTTTCAAAGCAATGCTTTCTTCTGCTGTCAGTGACCAAGTTTTGCTCTCCAGGCTGGCCCTGGTGGGAAAATTAGCTTCTCCTGGTAGTGTCTAAGCCAAAGCTGAAATATGAGACAAGTCGATTTTTTGCTGGGTGCATCTTAATATTTTATTGCCAGCACTGCCCAAGCAGCCCTTCCCTACCATTATAAAATGGCATAAGAAGGAGGCAGAATCCCAGAAACAGGCATTGTTAATTTACATTTTAAAAGTGTTGTTTGTCAAATACAAGCGTTGTAATTGCTTGCTTTCCATTTCTTAAATGTGCTAGCAATAAACTGGAAAGAAATAATGGGATACATGTATTTGGCAAGCTCTTTTCAGGGTTTTATATCAGTCCACTGCTGGATTCAATTACAGGCGATTTAAATTTTTCACGCAATGTCTTTCTTCTTAAAAATGTCTCCTTTCAAATCAAAACCCTCAAAATAATTTGTGAAAATGCTCAAGTTGTTTTAAGTTTTCTTCCAAAATTTTTCCTGTAGTGTGAAATTGGATCTTTGTGTTATGTGGAAAACGTTGCTCTTCTTGAAATAAACTTCTCCAGCATTTCTGTGTAAATGGGTACATACTGAGCCAGATCAAAATGAAACTAATTTTTTTTTAACATCCCTCTCCTATGATGCATTGGGATAAAATTGCCAATCCAGCTGCCCTGCTCTTTGCAGCTTGAGCATTGTCCAGGCACATACTTCCCCAAATTAATTCCTACAGCACCCAACAGTGACAATAGAAAACCAGGAGCCTGTGATTGTAGGACAGCTTCTCTGAGGTTTGAGGATCTTTCGCTTACCAAAAATCCCAGTGGCTGCTGGGATTCTCAAAAGTATTATAACTTCTTTTACTGAAATAGATGATACCACTGGAATTGTGCACTGGGCCACGTGGCTGTTTATCCCAATTCCCTGAGTGTGGCTTGGAGGACATCAGAAGCATTGTGATCTGCTTTTCCTTCTGTTTTCCTTTCTT